ACACAAAAGAGCTTCTGTTGCTTATAGCTTTTGATATTTACCAACTTAAGTATTAAAGCCAAGAAAGTTTAAAAGAAGTCTCATTTTCATTTTTACAAAGTTCTTTATATCTAGTTAGTAGAAAAAAGCTGAATTTTCATATATGCTTCTGTATTACATTATTTTGGTTGAGGTATATTAAGTAGATCCATTGTTAGAAAAGGGAGGGCCTTTCAAGATTGCTGATAATTCTTTGCAGTTTGGAATCTGAGAACCTATCTTGAAGTCTTTGTCCTTGTTTTATAAACCCATTGGTCCTTTTAACACTTTGAATGAATTTTTGCCAATACATGATTCTGTAATTTTATGCTTTGGAAAGAAGCTTTCAGAATTATGCAGGTCTTCCAAATGTTTCCCCATTTCCTATAGTATCAATAGATAACATTTGTTAACATCACCAGTAATTTCACCATCAAGTTTTGAAATATGAGGAAGCTGGTGATGGATATGAGTTTTCCAAAATTCTGATTTTTTCTTGAAAGGTTGGATTTGATCTTGGGTCACAATAAAAGGTGATTTTCCGCAAAGAAACAAGCTAACTTTGTTTTTGTTTTTGAGAAAAATGTCTACCTATACTCACATCCAAATAATCATAGTTTGTTAGTCATCCCTTCAAGTAAAAAGGCGTTCCATAGAAAAAGTGGCTTCCCCTTTGACTTTACCCCTTTTATTGAAAAATAAAGAAAAATCTAAGATGCCACAGCTAGATGCTTCTCAGGCCAAGACAGTAGAGTACTGGGGCTGGTCTGATAGGGGAGCAGATGCGGGCTTTAGCTGCTGCACATACCAGCCTTCTGGGCTGGGAGTGGCACAGTCTAGGGCTCATCTGGCTCCTTGCCTGCTATAGGGGTGTGCGTGCTACAACATGGGTCTCTGTGTGAGTAACTCCATGTTCTCCAGAGATTTCAGTTTTGCTCAGAGTGAAGCCAAAGTAATTTGGGTGCTTTTTTGAGCAGACACAAAATCAAATGAATCACTAGAACCTTTCCTTCCTCTTCTCTCATCTCTTGCCTAAGACTCGATCTGTATCTAGAGAAACTGAAATTTAAACTGAGGTGAGAAGGAATAATTGTTTCCTAGTATAGGAATCAGTTCCACCAGCCTTTGTGATGAAAAAAAGTGATTGGATGTTTTATTTGTTTGAGAAACATTTTATTAACCATATTCTTTATGTGCAAGAGCAGCTAGCTGAAACCCAGAACATGAGGGGTCATGATTGCCAGGAATTTGGAAAATGGCAGGAGCTTGCTATTCAAAGGGAATTCTGAATCAAGAACTTTTGTCTGCTAAAGCAAAAATGTAGAGAAACAGTGATAGTACTTCTTGAATATAACATCTCCAGGGCTTGGGATTCTCATTACCCCATTCACAGTAAAAGTAGAGATGAAAATAACTGTTAAACTTATTAAAGACAGAACCACCAAAGGGCCTAGATAATAGCGCCTACAGCATGGATCCACTGAGCTCAGTGTTTTGCCTCTCTAATGTCATGTAACCTCTATGTGCAACCTTATGCAATATAGGTGGTGTCCCTGCTTCAGTGAAGATGTAATTTGCTTGCCAGACCCTGTGCTTTCCTTTAACTGGAAAGACAGCTTGTCCTGTAAATTCACTTCCACTGATAACTAATCTCATTTATTATGTGGACCAATTTGGCTCTAGGGAGAGGAATATTATTTCCTGCAGCAGGGGCTTCTCAGTGTAATCCCCAAGTAATAGTCGTACACGCTCCCACACTAGACAAACCATTCAGGTAGGTAGAGGGCTAGGATAGGGAGTAGTCCTTTCACTGTGAGAAGCAATGATTTCAAGAGTGTCTCACCAAGCTGCCTGCCAGCTGTATTGCCATCAGAGATGCTTACCAAGGCTAACTTAGCTACTACGGGCCCATCTGAGCCTGTGCTGCACCATGAGGGATCCAGACAAGACTCAGACCTGGTGCTTGCCTTCTGGGAGCAGAACCTACTAGAAGGGACAGAAGAGGCAAGTAAAAAAGTGAAAGGTACAAGTACTGTGGGGATATGGGTGGGAAGGAGAGGTAAATTAGTAGGGGGACTGTAAGGAAGTCTGGATGAGGTTGGATTTCAGCTGGAGCTTTAAGCAGAGATCCCTTTAACAAAGGCACAAGGTAGGAAAGTGTAGAGAGTATTTGGGGAACAGAGGGAATGCTTCTTGAGGTTGAGGGTAGAGCTTGAGATGTCTCAAAGTCACCTGAGACATTTTAAAATACAATGACCATATGTCCAGTCCTGATTTTATTGTTCCTATCCAGTTCACAATTAGCACCTGTGTTGAGCAGTATGCTTAGATGCCTGACCCTGAGCCAGGTGCTTTATCATACATATTTAATGTTCATCACTGACCCTACAAGCTAGGACTTAACTCCATCTTACAGAAGGAGACTAAGTACAACCTACATCACACAGCTGGTAAATGATGGAGGCACAGCATTAATGTCAGAGCCAGTGTTGTTTCTCACTAGTACCATACCTCACTAGTACTTTGACACTAAATGAGTCACCTTGATCATACAATTTTTTATATTTACTTTTAAAAGAACATAGAAGAAATACTATTACACATTGCCTTACCCATTACACATTTGACTTTTTGCTTGTACCTACAAAACTATGTGTTCTGTTTTATTATTTAAAAAAAACAAAACAGAATTGAATGCAAATAAAACTGACAAAGTAGTATCTATTAAAAAGAAATCTGGGCCCTCCCTGGTGGCGCAGCAGGTTAAAGCACTGCACTGAGAAGCTAAAGCCACTTCCGCATGAGTTCGATTCCTGCCTGCCCCGGAGGTGACCACATGGCGAGGCAGACCTCTCCTGACCTGCCCGCTGCTCCCTTCAGCAGTATACTTTGTTGATCTGCCTGTTCTGCTCCCCGCTCTGTCTCTGGTGAATCCTCTCACCCTCCGCATCTCTGGCCTGTACCCCAGTTCTGTATGAATAAATAAATAATTCTTAAAAAAAAAAAAAAAAAAAAAGAAATCTGAGTTCTGTACTCCACTGGCTATATGAAGAATTTCAAAAAATAGTTTTACTCGCATCTTATATAACAACTTTAGAATCTGTCGCCCAAGTGAAATGAAACAACTGTAATAAAATTACATATTCTGGTATTTTCTTTAAGAATATGATTGCCATCATATTTCTCACAGAAGTGACTTGGGTGTTAGATTCACCTCTTCCATGCACTACCATGGCACCTTGTAACTGTAGAGTTTCCTGGGTACAGAGAGGTCTCCATTCTCTTAACATCTTTGAACACTATCCTACTGCAGCAGCCTGCCACTCCTGTATACTTGCCACCCAAGTCAGACAGTTAGAATCCTTTTGTAGTTGCAATTAAGCAACTGCCCTGTTCACGGAAATGTTCCTTGATAGTGCCTGACACTAGTTCCACATGTAGGATTTCTCTCGTACTCTTCTCTCAGGCCCTTGTATTTGCCCAAATGATTTATTATGCTCCTGGTGCAGCTGTTTGGTTCCTTTCTTTTTCTAGAAACTAGGGACCCAGGGCAGGATACCCTGATATGATTTCATTCAAGAAAGATCATGGCATTTATTTCATTGGTAGAATGAGGATAATATTCCTTTCTTAGGTGTCTGCAAATACCTGTTACCTATAGGTAGGTAAGTTTGGAAGGTATAACAGTTAAGTACTGCATCTAACAAACCACCCCAAAACTTAGTGGCTTTCAACAATACCAATTTAATATTTCTCATGACTTCATGGGTTGACTGGGGGTTTCTGCTAATGGGGCCAGCTTGACTGAACTCCTCTGGGCTCACACACATACCTGATCCACTGACCAGTCACCTGGGAAAACTCACTTCTCCACACATCTCACATCACTTCAGCAGCTAGCCTGGTCATGTTCTCATGGCACAGCAGAGGTGCAAGAGCAAACAAGCCCAGCCATGCAAGGAAGCAAGCAGAAATGCACACACACTTTTCAAGCTTCTGCTGACAGCAGTTTGCTAAGATCCCATTGGCCAAAGCAAGTAACATGACCAAGCCCAGTGTCAGAGTGAGCAAGGACTACCAAGTTTTGCAGGATACAAGAAGGTCATGAACTAGGGCTAGAGGAAACCTATAGGTTTATGTTTTTAAGTTTATCCTATAAGGGAGAAAAAAATCTGAGTAATTACTTTGTGTTGAGCCTATGCTATGGGTATGCACAGGGCTAGGCACTTTCCCTGTTTGTCATACAACTCTGCAAGGTAGGTAGGAAATCAGACCTCAGGAAGTTAACTCGCTCAAGGTCACCCAGCCTATGTGTGGTCACGCAGGGATTGGAATATGCATGTCAGTCTGCCCCCAGGGTTCAGGTTCTTGTCACTACACCTTTCTGATGCTCAGAAGCACTTTTCCTGCCTTATCGTACCTCCAGCTCAGTTTGAGTTGTTGCTTTTTGACTGACTGCAAACCCTTGCTCCAAAATGCTGCTGACCCTAATGGAATTGTGCAGTGAGAACCCACATGTTCCCCCACACCCTGCACTGAGTGAACATGTTTTTTCCTTTTAGAAGAGGATTGTCTGTCGGCTACACAGACAGCCTAAGAATTATGCCTTTCCCAGCCATGCCAGAGGAGGAAGGGCTATCTTCTCTTTAATCTTCAGGATTTGGGGATGTTGGCATTAGGGCATTTGAGCATGAGCTTTGGTATCAGTCTCACCAGAGTTCAAATCCTAGTTCAGCCACTCATTAACTCTTGTCAACTTTGACCAGCTTACTTAACTTCTTGAAATCTGTTTCTTCATCTTAAAAAAAAAGTGGGAATAATAACACCTAGTTTGCAGAGCTGTTACAAGGACTAAAATTATGTATATAAAGTGCCTAACCCAGTGCCTGGTACGTAATAAGTGACATTATTGGCATCGTTGATATTATTTCTAAGCAGAGCCTTTCCCCCCCTGGGAAACCCTGTTTATGTCTGTTGGACAGGTCGCCCCCACCTCCAGCCAGTCTGTGCAGACTTGCTGCCTGCTGTGTCATCGGGAGCGCAAAGGCTGGGAAGAAGGCCCTTCCCAAAACGGACTGGTGTTGCAGGGTGAGAAGCTGCCCCCTGACTTCATGCCAAAGCTCGTCAAGAATCTCCTAGGCGAGATGCCTCTGTGGGTCTGCCAGAGTTGCCGAAAGAGCATGGAGGAAGATGAAAGGCAGACAGGTCGAGAACGTGCAGTGGCGGTAGGTAACCGCTGAGCAGGACCCCTGAGTGCAGGAGGGCTACCTGCGCAGGGAAGGCAGATCACTGAACTCTTCTTCCCCATCCTCTCAGGTGGTCTACTCAGGTCACCCTTCATCCAGGAGCATCTTCTAGCAGCGTGGGTTTAATGGAGGCGGGGCAGAAGAGCAGGGCTACCAGCAGCCCAACTGACCCCTGAGCAGAATCTGAAGGTCCACTCATAGGTTCTGGTAGAACACAATCCTGCCCCTTCTTGTGATCATGCTGCCTTCAGTTTTGTGATAGTTTGAAATACCAGCCAGTGTGGCGTGGAAGCCAAAGGTCTGTCTGAGGGTCTGCAGTGTGCCTCAGTTGGGTTGCCTAGGCACCAGCTAAGTCTGCCGTTTCCTGAATCACGGGAAATCAGATTTTCCTTGTCTCTTCTGACCATCTCTCTTAGCAGGTTCAGTTTAGCGTCAGCAGTCCTGCCTTAGAAGCCTTTTCTCTCCTGGGTAGCTCTCAGGACTCCTGTAAGGCCCGTAATTAGCAGGTAGCCACTCCCCCTACCAGAGTCTCTCCCACCAGTATCCTGGCGATCTTAAGTGCACTTCACTCCACCAGGAGCCCCACAGCCTGGCCCAGCGTAGGCAGAGCCTGACCTGCATTTGCCTATTCCTGGAATTGTAGGGCCTACAATTGCATGGGGCCTGGAGGGAGAAGTGCTCCTGGGTAAGTTTAGGTAGCAAAGGGCCAGCCTTTGTGTCTGTTATTTTACCATGAGCCTTTTTTCCTCTCTTCTCCAGATTTCCTTGTCACATACATCCTGCAAATCACAGTCTTGTGGGGGTGACTCCCATTCCTCTTCGTCCTCCTCTTCATCGTCCTCGTCATCATCCTCCTCCTCCTGCCATGGGAACTCAGGGGACTGGGATCCCAGCTCATTCCTGTCAGCACATAAGCTCTCCGGCCTCTGGAACTCGCCACACTCCAGCGGGGCTGTGCCAGGCAGCTCGCTTGGGAGTCCTCCCACCATCCCCGGTAAGTCTCCCAAGCTTGGAAAGAGCTGGGCCCCACAACCATAGAGCTGTGTTTTCCTTGCTACTTTGTTCAAACACACCAGAAGATCAGCTGTTAAGTAAAAGTGGAGTTGTTGTGCTGATGGCAGAGGGGAGTGTGAGTAGTCCTTAACTGTTCCCGTGGGATTCTTTAAATGTCCCGTGACTCTGAGGCTACCGCTGTCATTGGCTCTCACTGCTGTTCCCTTTGGCTCCAGGAAGAACCTGGTGAATTCTAACTGAATAGAAAGTGGAGTTTGGGAGGGTCCTTAAGGTGTTAGGTCACTTAACACCTGACCCCTGCAACTGCACAGTGACTTCATTGCTAGGCCTCCTTTTTCCCCACTAAGGGTTGGGTGTAAAAGCACAGCACTTAAGATCACCAGGAGAGAGACAGTGCGTGCTGCTGTGATTACTGGCCACATCTATACAAGCCTTCCTAAGCCCAGAGAAAAAACCCTGATTTATTGATGCACTATGTAAATATCAATTACTGTCTGCTTCTAACTGGAGGGACTAAATTTGTCGAGAGGGCCCTGCCCCACAATTGTGAGAAGCTGAGCAGTACCTAAATCCAGTTAGGTTGGTGCATGAGCCAGAGTCATCGCAGTGTTTTCCCACTTCTCTGAAACTTGGGGCCACCTGAGAGCCTGCCTTGCCTGGCTGCTCCATCCACAAGGCTGAGGCAGACCCCTGGTCTGCCGCTCCACTGGCTTCTGCAGATCCTGCTCTGGACCTGAGGACTCCCAGGTCCTTTCAAGACTGATCACAGGTCCCATTCATGCCAGCCAAAGAGCGGCCTTGCATGAGGCCGACATTCCCTCAGACCTGCATTCCAGCTGGTACTGGAGCTGCTGCCCCAGAGAAACCTCAAGCCCGAAGCACTGCTGAGCTCTCCCAAAAAGCTCAGGGGCCCACCGAGAGGCTAGGCCCAGGACTGTGGCAAGAAGCCCTTGGGCTACTCTGATGCCTTTCTCCCCACCCCATCCACAGGTGAGGTTCTCCCCATCTCGGAGCACCACCGGCACTCAGACCTCACTGCTCCACCTAACAGCCCCACCGGCCACAACCCCCCGCCAGCATCACTGATCCCATCTCACCCCGGATCTTTTGACTCACCACCCCACCCACACCTGCTGCCCACCACCCCAGCAGCGCCTTTCCCTGCCCAGGCCTCAGAGTGCCCTGTTGCCGCTGCTGCCGCCCCCCACACACCAGGGGCCTGTCAGAGCCCCCACCTGCCCTCCACCAGCATGCCGCTCCTGAAGATGCCTCCACCATTCTCGGGGTGCAGCCACCCCTGTAGTGGGCACTGCAGCGGGCACTGCAGCGGGCCTCTCCTGCCACCACCGAGCTCCCAGCAACTCCCCAGCACTCACAGGTGAGCAGATGACCAGCATGAAGGGCAAGCTCCCTGCTGACTTAAACCTAGAGTTTTAAAAATTGTTGCCAGTGGTACTTTTGGGGTGGGAATTAAAGCTAACACTGTTTTTCTTAATAGTTTATCTCAGAACACTTTAGAAATGTATAAAGAAAAATATCCTCACAATCTACAGGTAAAAGTCTAATGCTGCAGTGTTAGCTTCTTGATGTTTCTGTATATATTGGTAAATGATATTCTTTGGCTTCTGACCTTTTATGCTGTTGTATAGTGATTTTTTTAAACCTTATAATCAAAATCATTTTCCCAGTTAAGATTGTTAGGATAACTTTTTATAGCTCTCGCTGTCTTATGGCATAACAGCTCTGTTTTATGGTTCCCCTGTTGCTAGGCATTTAGACATTTCCAGGCTTCTTACCATTATAGACAAGGTTATGAGAAGCATCTTTGTATGAAATCTGTTTGATTCGGGAATTATGTCCTTGAGGTAAATTATTTAAGGGTAACTCTTAATTAGTGGGAAAAGTTATGTTAACAGGTATTTGAAAGATGAAAACTATTAGAGAAGATAGCTGTTATAAATCAGATGTTTATTAACACGTTTGTGGGTTCCCTTTCTAATAGCCCACTTCTTCTCGCATGTCTTTCCCACATGGAGGGGTAGTGTCAGTACTTAGCTTTGTCAGGTTCTTGTGCGCACGTCTGTTCCCTTGACCGTAGGCTGAAGAATGTTTCCCACAGTGCGCTTTGCTTCTCTCCAGTTGCTAAACATTTGGGTCATTCCAACATTTTAACAATTATAAATATCACTAAAGATGTCTTTGCCTAAAGTATGTTTCCTCTTTTGGGTTTTTCTCCTTAGAATATATCCCTCAGAGTGAAAATAAGTTCTGGTAAAGGTGTGTTTTTTTGTTGTTTTTTTGTTTTTTTTAAAGATGTATTTATTCGTACATACAGGAAACGGGGTTCATGCCAGAGGTTGGGGGGTGAGAGGATTCACCAGAGACAGAGAAGGCAAAACAGGCAGATCTACTGAAATACACTGCAGCAGGGAGATAGGAGAGGTTTGCCACAACATGTGAGTCACCTCCCTGGCCGAAGATCGAACTCATGGTGTGCAATGGCTTCAGATTGCTTCATAGTGCTGCACTTTAATCCCTACACCACCAGAGAGGACCTGTTTTGTTTTTGTTTTTTGAGGAGAATCACACTTCATATTGAAAAATTGTTTTCCAAAGTATTCTCTGACTTGATATAACCACCAATATAGTATGCTTGTTTCTACATATTCTCAGGAATATGGTATTTTTATTGACTAATATAGTAGATGAAGAATAGTCAGATTAACTCAAAATTCTCTGCGATTCAGTGGTAATGGTTCCTGCCCATTCTTTCCACCCTTGTCCCATGCACACTACCCTGGAGCTGAGCCTCGTCCCTACTTCGCCCAGCTCCCACTGCTTAGCCCTGCCCAGGCACTCCAGCTGCTGGTGCCCAGCCCAGGGCCCTGACTCCAGTTCCAAAACTCTCAGGCTTATGTCTCATCCTCACTCTGGGGAAGTCATATATATTACAAGATGCTCCAGGGCTTTGTGGCATACAGAAGCAGAGTAATGCAGGGGAGCTTGGTACAGACATATAGGCAGAGTCCTTGCCACTCCCTGGACAAATCAGTTAGGCATTCTGAGCCTTAGTCTGCTCCCTTGCCAGGTGGAGAGAGCCACACCTCTTTGGCAAGATTCAGAAATTACATGCTAAATACAGTCCTTGGTCTACCCAGTAGCTGCCATAGTCTCTGACCTACAGGTTGAGTTTGCTGACATCAGAATCGTCAGGAGTGAAAGGAGACTGAATTTGTTGGATGCTCAGGTAGCCACCAGCACACTTAACCTGTTAAACACCTACTAACCAAGCACCTACTGTGTACTACAGACAGGGACCCAAAAGTAAAAGTGGTACTCTCCCTGCTCTTGGGGAGTGCACCATCGGTCTAAGAGACAAACAGGCTAATAGACCATCACCATAAAGCTGGGCCCTGAGTGGCAGCAGGGATGGTGTTCACCCTGTTCTGTGAGAGGCGCTGATCCCACCTGATGCCTCAGCCTTCGAGGGACTGTGACGGTGGGGCTGCTTCCCCAGTCTCCTCTGTGGCCTGTGTCTACACCACACGCCCTCACCTCTGGGCATGTCTTTCTTCCCTGGCAGCAGGGACCCCGGGTGCAAGGGGCACAAGTTTACACACAGTGGCCTGGCCTGCCAGCTGCCCCAACCCTGCGAGGCAGATGAGGGGCTGGGCGAGGAAGAGGACAGCAGCTCAGAACGCAGCTCCTGCACCTCATCCTCCACCCACCAGCGAGACGGGAAGTTCTGTGACTGCTGCTACTGTGAGTTCTTCGGCCACAATGCGGTGAGTGAGCCTGTCCGGGCAAGAGAGGACTGGGGGCTGGCCCAGGCAAGCCAGATGAGTGCCATGCTCACCCCAGAGCCCCCTTTGCTCCGGGCATAATAGCCACACTGGGACCCACGAGTCCTCGCCCCTGCATCCACTCGCCTGATCCTCACAGCACATTTGTGAGGTAGGGGTTTTTCAACATTTGCTATCTTTGCTGTTTTCATGGTTTCTCTTAAGATTGACTTTTTTTCCTTAGGCAAAAGGAAAGGAAATGGCAGAGAGAGCTCTGATTCTGATGAGTATGTATACGTGTGTAATCACAGAGAAGTGAAGGCTTGTGCGTGATGAAGGCAGAGTGGAAGCAAAGGCTCTCGGTCCCCCAAGTTTGAGAGCCAGCCGAGAGACAGGCCGTGAGCACAGATGGCGCCAGGAAGGAGCTCAGAGCAGAGTACATGCTGTCTCTGGACAGGGGGAGAAAGCAGTTCAGAAGTCTCATAAGGTGAAGAGGAGAGGGCCGCCGGCCAGGGTAGCACAGTGGAGGACAGAAGAAGTGAAAGTAATGACATTGCTAGACACCTTTGAGCTAGGAATGATTATCCTCATTTTAGAGATGACAAAATTGAGGCTCACAAAGACTCAGTGACCTGCCCAAGGTCATACAGCTTCCAAGTGACAAAGCCCGGGCTCCAACCTGCTTTTCTGGCTCCTGAGTCAATGTGCTCCCACCATCACGTGCCACCGCCTCCCGCTACCCACCACTGCCTCGGCTCAGGGCCTGGCTGAGGGTGAAGCCATTTGGTCTGTGTGGCTTTGGTAGAGAGAACAGTTGTCAAGCTCCTCACCATGTTTGGTGCCAGCGGGTGGGAGTGCTCCGGGCCTCCCAGGCCCAGGGTGTAATGTCAGCACCTCCCCCTCCCCCAGCCACCCGCTGCCCCGACGAGTCGGAATTATACCGAGATCCGGGAGAAGCTCCGCTCAAGGCTGACCAGGCGGAAAGAGGAGCTGCCCATGAAGGGGGGCGCCCTGGGCGGGATCCCTGGGGAGCCCGCCGTGGACCACCGAGATGTGGATGAGCTGCTGGAATTCATCAACAGCACGGAGCCCAAAGTCCCCAACAGCGCCAGGGCCGCCAAGCGGGCCCGGCACAAGCTGAAAAAGAAGGTGGGTGTGAGGGGGAGCCCAGCTCTACCACTTCTTCTCCCCAAGGACTCCCTCACTCAGCCCCCAACACATCTGGGGCATGAATGGTGCTGGCTGCCAAAGGCCTCAGCACTGCTCACTGTCATGGGAAGGTCTGAATGAGTTTGGGAGGCATCAATGGGTCAGGGAGCTTGGGGCCAATGATTGGAGGAAAAATGAGTCTAGGCCTCAGAAGCCACTGACTGGATTCCTCAAAGCCCAGGACTCTCTTCGGTCAGTCACTCACTTAGCCACTCAACAAACACTTCTGCAAATCCTGGGATCCAGAGTGTGACACAGTTCCGTTCTCACCCTGGAGAAACTCAGTCTGGTGGAAACACTGCCACAAACTGGACAAGCACATTCATGTGTGACCAGAACTGTGGTGAGGTCACAGTCCTGCCTGGGTTGCTGGAAAAAACTATACCAAGAGGCTGATTTGGGAGCTGAATGGTAGAGAGTGAGTTCACCCTTCCTTGCCAGGGCCTTCCTGGCAATGAGCATGGCACATCCCTAGCCACTCACAATAGCCAGAGCGCAAACAGGGTGAGACAGGACAGATAGTGGTTGGGAAGACCTCGCAGGCCCTGTTCAAGAGCTTTGACTGGATCGTACAGGGGAAGGGGAGCCCCTGGAGGGCTTTAATCAAAGATTGCACTTGGTCCAATCTGTGTTCTAAGATTACCTTGTGACAGTATGGCAGGTCATCTGGAGGGATGATACTTGAGGCAGGAAGTCTCGAGCCAGGGAGAGAGAACTGAAGGTGGGGCCAGGGAAGATTTTTAGAGGGAGCAGGAGTCGCACTTTCTGATTTGTTGGCAGGACAGAGAGATGGAATCAAGAATGTCTCCCAGTTGGTCAGATGGTATGCCTTCCATCGTGCAAGGATGGATTGGCAGAAGGTGACTTCAGTTAGGACACGTTGACTGGAGCTTCTCCTGAGATGTCAGTAGGCGGTGGAGTTGTGGGGTTGGAAGTTGCCAGCATGAAGATGTAATTGAAGCCATGGGACTAACCCAGTTTATAGGTAGAGTGAACACTTCCCTGAGGGTTAAGGGAGATAGAACCCCATGAGCTATTCCCGGCAGCTCTGCTGCCAGGTGAGCCCTGGGGCTTATAGCAATGTCCCCTGCTGCCTCGTTACCCCATGGCCAGCCTGCGGGCCCCCCCCCCCCCAGTGCAGTTGCACAGTTTCACACTCAAGAGCCCAGCTGTGGAAGAGAGTGGGTTTGACAGGTCACTAGCTCCACGTCCTGGGTGGTCAAATAGCCTTCGTGTTCTGGAAAACAGCACTGATTCTCCACCTTTTTCCAGCCAAAGGACAATTCAGAATCCCTTTCCTACGGCCTGGAGTAGTGATGTCAAGGGTCCCACCGCTGCTTTTGAGCTCTTTCTTCCTTCCACACAGTGTGGCCTGGCTGGAAGTGTTGAGTAGGGTACCACTGTAACTGTTTTGGCCTCTTCTGGCCTCAAAAGTGGTTTCCAGTTAGGTCCCAGAAAGCACACTTGGCAATTCTCAGACCTGTTGTACTTAAGTCTGTGTCCGCAGACAGCCTTTCCCGTTTACCAGCATTGCTCTCTCTTCTTTCCCCCTTTTCCTCCTATTACCTTTCCTTCCAAGCTCAAGTCCAGTGTTTCCTCATTTGCAGACTTGCTTGGGTAACCCCTTGCCCTCCCACACCTCCGACTGCTGACTCCCACACTATTCCCTCACTCAGAAACTCACAGCTTAGCCCATCCAGTCCAGTCAGGAGGCCAAGGTACAGCACGGAAGAGCGGTCAGGTGTCATGTGAGTGGCATTCATGGTCATCTGTTTTTACATCAACCTCCTCCCTCCTCCCAGACTTAACTACAGCCTGGCTGTCTACCAGAGACACAACTTCCCCCAGGAGCCATCCAGTGGCAACTGCTCATTCTCTCCCACCTCTGGAGAAGAGTAGGCTGTCTTTCTGCTTCCTTATACTACTTCCACATCTCAACCCTCTTCCCCTCCCATACTACCCCTACTGTCCATAACTATACTCCCAGCTCTGTCACCTACAGCTTCCTTCCCAGCCCCCTCTTCATCCACTGAAGACTTCATCCACTCTCTTTCCAGGCCTTAACCATCACTCACTCACTTTGTTAACCATCACTGCCCCTCACAAAAGCAAACTGCAGCCTGACCTGCCTTTCCCTTGTGTGGATGCCAGGAGAGAAACACCTGCTTGAATCTTGTCTCTGGCTGCCTGGCACAAGACCTCTGCTCATCTCAGCTCCACACTTCCTAGCAGGCCTCATGTAGTGTCCTAATTGGCCTTCTTGCTTCCTACCACTTCCATTCAGAACTCGTTGGTTAGACCTTCATATCCAACCTCCAAACTGCACCACCACCACCTATTTGGGGACATTTAAATGACATTTCCTGGATCAAGGAGGATTGAACTTCGTGGACAAATCCTCTTTCAAAGTCTTACCAGCCCACCTGCAGATACCTTCTTGTTATGAGAGGTTACGTTACCAGTTTCCTACTTGAGACCCGAGCAGTTCTTTCTCACCTCCTGTGTAATGTCTGTCACTCCTCCTCTACATTCTTTCCCATCAGCATGTCAGTTTCCAGTACACCCTTTTGAAAGTAGTGTGTTCTTTAAGCATACAGCCTCTCTCCTCTAGACTTTTCCTCACCTCAGAGCCAAATTCTTGAAATTGTCTGTGCCACTGTCTTGGCTCTTCTGTCAGCCCACAGCCTATTGCTTTCACCCACCCCCCTCCTCAGGGCTGCCAGTGACTTCTCAGTTGCCAAATCGACAGCATCTTCTGTTCCATCTGCTTTGTCTACTGGGCAGTCTTTTATAGTTTGTGTGTGTTCTCCTTGTCACACGTTGTTTTCTTGGATTCCTCGGTCTTTAGCCAAGAGGGACAGGGAAAGGCAGAGGGCACTTCGATTTTCTCTAAGTTTCTCACCTTCCTCTCTGTTCCTGTTCTCTCTCCTTTGAGAAATCCTGTGTCTCTGCCTAACCCTCCCTCGGTCCATTAGGTCCTGGTCTGTTAGGCCCATTTATTTCCCCAGCACTTCACATTGATGTCTCCTGCTACCGGGCAGCTCCTCGTGGACGTCTCCCAGGTACTCCGGCTGTGCACATCCAAAACTGAGCTCCTCCTCTTCCTCCAAAGAGGCCTGCTCTTCCTTCTCCGTTGGCTGTCTGGTTAATGGCACCACCATCCACCCAGTGGCCCGAACCAGTCCCTGGGTGTCGTCCTGGGACAATGAATGCTTCGTGGTGATTGAGAACAGCGGGCCTTGGAATTGGACCTCAGTTTGAAATCCAGCTCTGCTACACTTTGCTGTATGACCTTGGGCAAATCACTTAACCTCTAAGCCTCGGTTTCTTCATCCATAAAATGAGAATAACAGTAGAACCTAACTCAGACTGTTGGGAGGAGGCAGCACAGCGATGCACAGGAAGGCTGGGCAGCGGGCGCTCAGTCGGTGTGTCCTCTGTGGCAGCAGTAATGGTTGTCTGTGATGTTCTCGTGACTCATTTCTCTCCCTCACTGGGAGTCCTAACTGTGTCACCTCTCACACTTCTCTCCACATACTGCCATTACTTAAAAAAGCCTTCAGAGGCCAAATAAACCCAGACTGAGCATGGCCTGCAAGACTCTTCAGGACGCAGCCTCTGTCCACTCAGCTTGACAGCTTTGTCTCTCAGCTTCACCCTTCTAGCCTTCCTGCCCCACTCACCCCTGCCTTCAGAAAGAAAGTTGAGTTCCAGCTGTATCTGTGAATGTCTATATTCCCTAAAGATTTTGTGCTTTCCCATTTCCCCGGCTTTATGCTTGCTCATCTCTGTTTAGAAAATTCCTGTCTCGCTCTCTGCAGGATAATCCCACTCACCGTTCAGTGCTGAGAGCTATTGCCTCCTCTGCCTCAGTCTGGGTTCTCAGAGCACTCTGTGCTTGCTTCTCTGCAGCGCTTGTCACTGTCACTCAGAATTAAACAGCCTGTCTGCATGTCTGTCTCTCCAAGCCAGCAAGCAGAGATTGTGGCTGAATTCTGCTCAGAGAAGGCTTGTCAGACAGGATCGAAAAGTACAGAAACTGGAAAGAGCACTCCTGAGTGTGCTGGTCATGACTGTGCCACTTACTAGTCATGTATTCTTGGGCTATGTGACCTTGTTCTTTCCAAAGTTGAGTTCCCTCATCTGTAAATTGAAGAGGAGGATGCCACAAGGTAGTTGTGAGGGTTAAGTGAGACAGATTTGGGAAGGTCCAGGCTCATGGTATGTAGCAGACAACATGGGGTCCTATGCTTTCTCCTTTTACTAACAAATTCTGTGTGGTTCCCCCCACACCAGTAGTTTTCAGACTTCTGTTTAGTAGCAGAATTCTTCTCTGCAGATGGAACCGCAAACTCAAAAAATAAAAGCAAAGCAGTTCTAGCGCAGGGGAGGAGCAAAGTGAAGACCTTGCCACTCTATGTCCCTCCCTGTGCCTTCCACATCCTGCCCACAGCTTGGAACTCCATGGCCCGCATTGGCCCTCTGCTGCACACTGAGCTGCTGCCTCACCTGAGCACTGCAGTGCCAAGGCACAGTCTTGGTGGCGACAGGGAAACAGGCATACAGCCTCTCAGGTGTCCTCAGCAGCCCAGTGAGATATATAGGTGGTTAGTTTTCTGCCCACATTTACATGCAGTTTTTGTAAGGTTCAGAAATAAGTGATTTGTCCAAGGTCCCACCAGTCTCCCAGTCAGTTGTGGAGCCAATGTTTAAAAAGATGAGAGAAGAAATACACACGTGCTGGCTGGGCACAGGGTCACCCTCTAAGTAGGCTCTGAGGTGAAGGCAAGCCCTCTTTTCTGCCCCCAGTTTCCTTTCTTGTTTCTCCCCTTCATTCCCAAATCAGCTAGAAATATGTCAAATGGTGGGAGTCATCCAGCCTCTGGCCTACCACCACCTCCTTCCTGTAGACTTTGACATCTGTTCCCTCTCCTGCCTCCCTCTGCAGGCCTCCTTGGCCTGCTGGTGCCTTCAGCTTGGGCAGAGGGGTGGGGTGATGTAACCTATTAATTTTCACTTTCCTGATCTGACCTCCCTGGGCCTTCCCTGGGTGAAGGGGCTACCTTGACGTCTTTCTGTGAGGCTGGTGGGGCTGTTTGTGTACCATTGGGCACCCCTTAGGGGTGACCTTGATTATGTGCAGCCAGCCAAGCAGTGTGTGACCTTCCTACAGGAACTTTGCCCATCAATGATGTTGGGAGACACCCAGAGCAGCCTGACCACTTTGGTTGTCCTATAGCCCCACCTCTTCTAGAAAGACTCCATATGGCATCCAACTTCTTTCCCCTACTTCCTATAGAATTGGGCAGAATACCTCTGTGACATCTTCCTCACATGTATCCTCACTTTGATCTTTACTCCAGAATTTCTGTACCCAGTTAGCAGGTGAGTGAATTGCTGAAGCTCATGTCTAGGAGGCAAGATCCAGTTAGCTCAGTTCCTTGCCGTCCTCACCTTCTCAGGCCCTAGGACTGATAGGGGGACTCTGGAAGAAGGAGCTATACAAACCCTCCACGACTCCCTCCCCCCACCACCACCACAGACTTGTACCTGTGTGATTGCATTTCATCCTCACTCCTGCAGGGGTGGGCAAGCATGCCAGATTCACAAAGCCCAACCTGTGGCCAGTTTGTGGCAAAGTTGGGCTCTGAGCTGATGTGTCAGGTATCGCATTGTATGTGGCAACTGCCAGATTTCTGCTAAAACTGCCTCTTGTATTGGCAGGAAAGGGAGAAGGCCCAGTTGGCAGCAGAAGCTCTCAAGCAGGTGAACCGCAGTGTTTCTGGAAGCCGGGAGCCAAGGCCTGCTAGGGAGCAGCTCTTGGAGTGGCCTGACCAGGAGCTGGATCGGGTCAACAGTTTCCTGAGCAGCCGTCTGCAGGAAATCAAGAACACTGTCAAGGACTCCATTCGTGCCAGCTTCAGTGTGTGTGAGCTCAATGTGGACAGCAATGGCTTCTCTAAGGAGGGGGCTACTGAATCAGATCCCCAGGGTCTGACCCCCTCAAGCCTCAATGGCTCCTCAGAGCAGCGGCCTGACATCAACCTTGATCTATCCCCCTTGACTTTGGGCTCCCCTCAGAACCACACGTTACAAGCACCAGGCGAGCCAGCCCCACCATGGGCGGAAATAAGAGGCCCCCACCCACCATGGACAGAGGTGAGGGGCCCCCCTCCTGGTATCATCCCTGAGAATGGGCTAGTGAGGAGACTCAACACTGTGCCCAACCTGTCCCGGGTGATCTGGGTCAAGACACCCAAGCCAGGCAACCCTAGTCCTGAGGAGACAAGCTCAAAAGAGAGCCCCATTTGTAAGCAGGAGCTACCTGAGTCCTTGGCCTCAGGGGGGAAGCCTCGGAAGGGCAAGAGACAGGGCAGTCAGGCCAAGAAGAGTGAAGCAAGCCCAGCTCCCCGTTCTCCAGCCAGCCTTGAGGCTCCTAGTGCCAAGGGCCAAGCCCCCAACCCCAAGCAGCCAGGCAAGGCCCCAGAGCCTCCCAAAGTAGGCAGCTGTGCTGAGGTTGGAGAAGGGAGCAGGACGAGCCGGCCAGGACCTGGCTGGGCTGGTAGCCCCAAAGCTGACAAGGAAAAGGGCAGCTCCTGGCGAAGCTGGCCAGGCGAGGCCAAGGCACGTCCCCCGGAGCAGGAGTCCATGCAGTCCTCAGGCCCAGCAAGGCCTCAGAGCTTGCCACAGGGCAAAGGCCGCAGCCGTCGCAGCCGCAACAAGCAGGAGAAGTCAACCTCCTTGGGTGAGTGCACCAGGAACTGAGTGGCTGACCCCTCCACCCCAGCCAGGCCATGGGGTGGGGGGCAGTCCTTGGTGTGTGGCAGCTTTGCCCCAAGAGCATAACCCCAGAGGCCTGACCCTGGGCTCTGAACCTTCCTGGCTTTGTCTCCCTAGATGATGTGTTCCTACCCAAGGACATGGATGGGGTGGAAATGGACGAGACTGACCGGGAGGTGGAGTATTTCAAGAGGTAGGTGTGGGGCTGCCCACTGTCCTCTTCGGCTACGGCAGACTCCAGGGCCTGCCCACACACCCCATGTCATGCCTCAGGACCCTCAGAACTACCTCCCCATCAGCACTGTGCCCTCAGAAGGCCACTCCAGCCCTGCAGGGTCTCTCCCACCAGACTGTCTGCTGGAACGCAGATAGCCACGTGGCAAGACAGGGCATTTTGGAAGGAGCAAGGGACCATTGCACATTAAGAACTAGGGCTTTTTGCAGCTTCATTCACTTTGTTCATTCACTTTGTCCACTGTGTCCTTACTAAATACCATCATAGATAGGTTCTTGGAGAATGTGACTTTAAACAAAACATCTAACTAGAGCATGTCCTCGTCAGCCAGGATTTTTTTCCCATTAATAAAGGATGACATTGAATGAAGTGGAGTCATTCGAGGAGCTGATGTACTTCCCTAGTTCTTCCTGGTCTGAGTTCAGGGGACAGCTGAGTTCACACAGTATGTATGGAGAGAGCCATATATGTACAGTCTAGGGTTCAGAAAAGTTATGGGATTGTGGGGTGTTTGACAAACTATGAGATGGGGGTGACCCTGAAAGCTGACACCCAAGCTGAAACCTGAAGAGTAAGAAAGAGTGGTTTAGGTTTCAAATATAAAAATGGGGGATGGGGAGAAAAGGGAGTATTTGTGGCATTGGAGCCAGCAGGTACAGAGGTTAGAGAAGGCAAAAAATACACCATCCTTAAGGGAGTGGAAGACGACCTAGTGTAGTTGTACTGAAATACAGAGTAAGGAGAGAGCCTGCATCCCCAGGCTGTCTCTTCTTGTGCTGTCCTGTGCCTGGACACCGCATCTAGGAAGTCCCTGAGCCAGTAGAGTTCCCATGCCTGCCAGACTGCAGCACCCGGGAGCCAGAGGGACTGTGCAAAGCTGAACTGGTTCCTTCGGTGGCCAGTTCACACAGTTCAGGAAGGGGGTCCTGAACCTCAGAGGAAGGAGGGGACCTCTAATTGTACTTTGGTGTCTCCAAACCCACAGGTTCTGTTTGGATTCTGCAAAGCAAACTCGTCAGAAAGTTGCTGTGAACTGGACCAACTTCAGCCTCAAGAAAACCACTCCCAGCACAGCTCAGTGAGGTATGAAGACCTCCCACAAGTTGCATGTACCACCCCTGCCCACTCTGCCACCTTGTGAGTCCTGCACTACCATAGTGACAGCCCCGCCAGCTACATGCCTTGAAGTCACAGGCCCTCCTTCAGTCCTCCCCATGTTCCTGAAGGGCATCCACCAGAGTTATCACCACCTGGTCTGTTTTCCCATACCAGCTGCCTTCCAAAGTACCCACACAGCCATGGGCCCCTGAGGGACAGCCGTGGGCCCACCTGTGATGTTATCAGCCTCAGGATTGACTGCCTGGCTTGGCTCTTCTGTGCAGGCATCTGGAATGCTGCTCAATTACGTGAGAAGCAGACAGCCCTGAGAGGCAACTGAGCTAGACCATGGCCGCTGGGGGTCAGTTAGGCATGAAGGGGTCAGTGGGTGCTCAACATGAGTTCCATGAGAAAAAGGACATGGAATAAAGCTGCCTCCCAGAAGCAGAGACTTGGCTTCCCTCCTAGCCACTGCATCTGTCCTTTTGTCAAGAGCAGTGACATATCGGGCCTCCCTAGCAGTGCAGAGAGTTAAATCTCAGCACTGTGAAGCTGTCCGTAGTCACTGCCAAATGAGTTTGGTCTCTAGCCAGGGAGCTGACCCACATGGCACAGCAAACCTCTCATGCCTTGCCCGCTCCCCTCAGTAATGTATTTAAGTAGATCTGCCTCTTCGGCTCCCCACACAGTCTCTGGTAAAAGCTCTCAGCCCCCCACACACACCTTTGGCCTACACCCCAGTTCTTGTATGCATGTGCACCACCAGGGAGGTCCCACATGGCCACTCTTGAGGTAATAGGAAGTGAGGGCAGAAGCGCCAATCACACAGACTGCCCAGAGGGGTATTCTTACCTGTCTTCTTCCCCTTTCCTGTGCTGGGGCAGCTCCTCATTGACCCAGGGCAGCAGACTTCCTGGCCTCTTGGCCAAATTCATCCACCCTTGATGCTGACCCAGATATCCCAGGGATAGCCCAGAGAACCTGAAACCAAGGTACCTTGGGGCCTGACTCCCTGTGACACTTGTGCAGCTGCAGAGCCAGGGTGATCTGAGTCACCTCAGCCCTCTGCTCTGAGGGGGCTGGGCATCCTGGACCTTTGCCAGGGCTTCCTCCTACCTCCACAGGAATCCCAAACACTTTGCATCTTTTGCACCAGTGTCCCTGTCATCCAGGACACCTATCTCCCCCACTCCTTTTAATCTCTTTTCCCAGACAGGAGCTGCTCCCTCCCCAACTCCCTTGGATCTTTTCACCCTCCTCAATAGGATGGGGCTAAGACAGTGCTGGCACGCTTGGCCTACCCCAGGCAGCACCTGGAGCCTGAGGCAGAAGTCAGAGAGCACATGCCTGGCCTGCCAGTGGGAGAACATGCAGTGGAGGCCTCGTACGTGGGATGGTGTGCTGTCAGGGTGGGCAGGCTCCGCCAGGATTCCTCCCACATTCCAAGAGCTACAGAACCTCAGGACTGGGACTGTCACTTGTCAGGGTTTTAACTCATCCTCTACGTGATCATAAAGTCTGTTCAGTGCTTTCAGGCCAGGAAGCAGTCAGGACTCTTCGGGCCTCACTGCTTACTTGTGTTCTGTTTTTCTCAGCCCCTGCAGAGTGAAGCTTCTTCAGGGTGTTGTGAAGACCCGACTGCCAGCTGCAAGTCTACAGATTGTTTTTCCATATCCCTGCCCACCTGCCCAAGACCCTCCCCACTTCCTGCCATCCCGGACCAACCAAACGCTGAATGGATGCCGTGCGTGCCGGGGCCCTCAGGACCTCTGCAGAGCCACTTCCTGGTGCTACGCAGCCTCCACACTCAGAGCCCGGGGGCTGGGCTGGCCTGTGGGCCAGGGGCTGATGGTACTGCTGGCCCAACACTGCTCTTTGTGTTTGGTTTTTTGTTTTTGTTTTTTTTTTTTTTTTTTGATTCTTTACTTTTTGATACTGTGAAGATCTTTCCTGCGAAAGATAAAGCAACATTTGGACACAGAGTCAGTGTGTTGGTTTGTGATGAGTAGGGATAAGGTGAGGGCTGTACTCAGAAGCACCTTAGTCACTAGGCTAATTGAGCACATACTCCATCTCACCAGTTTGGCAAAGTTTCCACTTAATATTTGGCAGCAGTTCCAAGTAGGATCATTCCCTTTTACAAATGAGGGAATTATAATACCAAGTCCAGTCTAGTTCAGTCAGAGAGCCCAGGTATACGTGAGTTTGACCTGCACCCCACCCCATCCCCTTGCTGGGAGGACTCTGGATACATGAGCCTAGAGAGCCTCTTCCCCGTGTTGTATCTCAGTTTCGCCATCTGCAAGAGAGGGCAGCACCTGTTCTCTTTGCAGCTGGTATGAGAATGGGTCGGGGAAAGCTCAAGCCTTTATTTGCTTTGCACCTACAACCTGGGTGGCTGGAGTTGGCAGGGCAAGTGGAGTTTCTGTACATTAACTCTGACTACCAATGGGAATGGGACATGAGAGTTAAGAAAGTAAATCAGTCCTATAAACGAAAGCAGACTTCTCTTCCTCCTCTTCCCCAGTGGATCTGATTTGTAAACTTAGGTTTTAATAGGTTTGCTAGAAATGACTCATCCTAGCCCCTTGTCCCCAGTGTGGTTTCCTTTACTAAAACCAAGCCTACGTGGGGAGAAATGGCAGTACAGTCACATTATTTTGGGGGTGTCATTTTTGTAGAATCAAACCACCCCTTCCAGGTTGAACCCCATCATAGGTGCACAGTTAGTGCCAACTTGTAAAGCAGTGAAAAACCACTGTCTACAGACTTTCAACTCCTAAGCTTTTCCCAATCCCCAAGGAAGTACACCGCTTCCCTGTGAAACCTCTATACTTATCAGCAGTGTATCTCACCTCTTGCACCAGGCACTTGAATTCACATGGCTAACTAAAATTCTGTTTCATCACTGCTAAGTTGCAGGTCTAATGGAGAAGCCACTTTACTTACAGAGAACTAGACTCTTGTGAATAGTGGTGAAATGCTTGTGCTTGCCCCTGCCTCCCACACTCAATTCCAACCATACTGGTAATCTTGGTTTCCAAAAGACCCTAGAATCCTCCTGCTCATTCTTCCAAATCCCAGCTGAGAGAGAGTACTGGTTTTTTTTTTTTTTTTAAAGATTTATTTCTTTATTTGTACAGAACTGGGGTACAGGCCAGAGGTGCAGAGGGTGAGAG